TATACTGAATGGTCTAGACTGAGCCTAGAACTTGCCAATTGAGCTAGGATGACTGGCCAGCAAGTTCCATGGACCCATTTGTTTCCTTTCAGCACCAAGACTGCAGGTATTTGTTTCCCTGCTCAGCCTTTTTGTGGGTTCTGCAGATTTGAATCAGGTTCTCATATTTGGGTAAAGAGCATTTTACCAACTTAAACATCTCCCCAGCTCCGGCTAATAGTACTTTTCAACCATACACACACACACACACACACACACATACACACACATATGCACACACTACATGTATATATACCTTGCATGTGTCCACACACAATCTGATACTATACATGTCATTCATTACTTCACACCATACAACATTCCCCACTGCACTAGGTGTATTTCCAGGCCCTCCATTCCTGCCCTAAATTAGACATCTCCATCTAGACCCATCTCAATCCAGTCACCTGCCCCAGTCACTACTCAGTACCCACTTTGGTTCTAAATGCTTTATAAATACCACCCCATTTAATCAAACAAGGGCCAAAGAAGAAATATTATTCTCTTCATTATACAAATGAGAAAATTGTGGCTTAGAGAGATTAAGAGACAGGTCCAAGGACAGACAGCTAGAAGATGACAGAGACAGGATTTGAACTAAAGTGTAGCTAAACCCAAGACATGTTGTTTCTACTCCGATTTACAGACATGGCAGAGATTTATAACCTATAGAGGATTTTTGAAACACAAGTTGCTATTATAACCCCCAGTAATTGGCATTTCTGATCAATGGATTCCTGATAAGTGGTGTTGACATTGAAGTCCCAGAGATGGTACAAAATGTGGTCATTCTAAAATGCCTAGCAGTCTACGAATTTCTATGGGAAGTGTAGGTAGTACACTGTCTCTTTGAAAGCAATTCACAGAATGGCTCATCATGTTTCTGTTGTAACTATCCTCCCTCCACTTCAGAGGTCACTGACACTGGTTGTGCAGGGCCTTAGAGATGTCCTTCCAACCCTGTCCTGTCTGTGGTTAGATATCTGCACAGCATAGCCTCTGCATTGCACCCCATGGATGAGAAATCACAAGGCCTTGGAAACCAATAAGTGAGCAGGGTCTTCTTCTTAGGTGTTATAGGTATGGCCACTATGCCCAGCTCTGGGCGTTGAAATCAAGCCTTTGTGTATGGTAGGCAAGCATTTGACCAACTGAGCTATATCCCTAGGCTAGGATAATTTTCTTGGTTCCTGATAACAAGATGTCACCTATACTATACTATCTTATTCTAGATTAGCAGAAGTAAGTGGAAGACCCCAGACCCATGGCTATGTTCATAGCTGCCCACACCCCAAGAGTGAGCACAGAATGGGCTTTGCCAGTGAGGCTTTGGCTTGACTACTTAAGTGGACTTGGCCTGCCTAGATGATAGAGGAGTTCTTGCTGTTCAAACAGAGGTGCACTAAGTACATAGCCAAGACCAGGAGGCTTTGCACAGCACTGGCGTCACTGGCATGCTCATTACCGGAAGCCTCACTGGGCATTTAATTTCTTAAGTATTTCAGGGGCGGTGAGCACTTCAGAGCCCAATTCATCTTCTTTGTCTTCATTACAGAGAGCCCTCTGATCACCTTAATCCTTCCTCTGCCACAGCAAAGAGCCATTTGTTTCTTTAATGGGTATGCTCTCACTAGCTAAGTGGCTGCTCAGAGCCAGGGCAGAAGGTGAAGCCATCCTGAGGACAGTGGGAGATGTGCCTGACTCAGACAGGGGGTGGAAAACTCCTGAATCAGATGTAGGGGGGAAGTGTTCATCTGCCTCCTACTTGCCCACATTCTCACTGTTGTGAGGTGCCCTTCTCCTAAGGGTTGGTGAGACCTCATGCTGGGGGGCGGGGGGAAGCTGCCAATCTTCCTAGTCAGGTTATGGACTCTGCAGAGTCATGGGACATTCACACAGGAAGCAACATCCCATTCGACACACAGGGAGACCCCAGTCTACAGGTTCCCACTCAGTGCTGTGTAGAGTGGGCCATTCACTCACTTTACAAGATCTTCGTGACAGAGTCTACACCAAGAGTCTGCAGTCCCTAGTTTATTTAATCCCTACCTTGACTCTGCAATCATGCATATACATTTTGCTAATGAAGAAAGAATTGCCCAAGGTAACATGATCATTAACAGCAAGGATCTGCTGAACCTCTATCACCTGTCTCCAAAAGGCTTGTTCTTATTGTCACTACTGGATCTCATCTGACATGACCAGAGTAAGCCCTGGGTAAGGCACTTGCTGGTGAAGGCATGAAAGAGGTTCAACAAGTGGAAGCATCTAGCTAAAGAAAGAGACCATACATATAATGAAGACCAATACAGAGCAGAACCTTCAGTCCTATTCTCGTGACTAATACCTATGACTACAATAAACACTGGGCATTGTCTTTCAGAAGCCAATCAATAAGGCAAATAGCTAGGCCTATGTGAATATGATCTCTACCTGTTCCCACCCTGACTATCCATGGGCTTGTCCATCTCTAAGAAGTAAACTACAAAGTCTGGGCCTTCCTAGGTTCTCACCTGGTCCCGAGTATAAGGTGTGTCCACTCTCTGCTTGTCACCACAGGCTTCCAGGAGGACACGGATTGCATTCAAATGTAGAAGCATCTCACAGGCCATTTTGTCAAAGAAGGTGATGTTGGCAAGGGCCGCAGAGGCCAGCAGGAAGACTTCCCCTGATGAGGCCTCTTGGCACAGTTCTGGATAGTGAACAAGAAGAAACAGTTCAAAGCCATGTGTTTGCACATGATCTCCCTCAGTCACCACAATAGCTCTGGGAGACCATTTGGGTGGGAGTCTTGGAACTGGTTTTAAAGATGGACAAATCTGTTACTAGAGAGGGAACTATGTCATCTGTATAGGTAGCAGAGCTGGGATTGGAGGCCTTGTATGTCACTTTTGCTCACCCACAGTGTTTATTGAGTGAATCCTAGGTGCCTAGAGTTATGAGATGGTAGGATGGACCAAACAGGTCACATTGTTGCCCCTGTGATATGTATTCTCTGCTAGCAGACAAGAGAAAGAGAACCTTTGAAAGTTGATATAAATAATTGCCGCTTTTGATAAATATGAAAAGAAAAGAGACAAATGCTATGATGGAGAATAAGTGGGTCACATAGGAGATGTCTCAAAGAACATAACCATAACACTGAAGCCTTAAGAGAGGAAAAATGAGTCAGTCATGAAAATGTCAGGAGGAAAGACATGTTCTAGAAAAGAGAAGTAATGTATGCAGAGGCCATGGAGCAGGAAGGGATATACCCTCCTCTAGTTCCCATGTCTTCAGTGATGTACACTAGGAAGAGGCCAGAGTTAATGCAGATACTTTGCCTTCCAGACACCTTCTATATCTTTTTGGTCTCAGATGGCAAAGATCACCTGGCTTCAGAAAGTACTACACAAGCTCTTGAGTGCCAGGGCTCTCTCTTCAGTCCTAGTGGTTACAACTCAGCACAAAATTAATGTCCCCACCTGCCATATGTAATTGTGTTAAGTCCTTTTTGAAGGACTGTTCCCATCCCTCTATTACCTAATACAGTTGCCTGCAATGGACCCACCTCAAGAGGCACTGTCCATGGTTCTGCTTGTCCCAATGGACAAGTCTAAGTCTCAGTTCCAACCAGTCAGGATGTGACAGATTAAGCTCTGTGCCACTTGTAGCAAGTGTGTTTCTTCTACAGAGACAGAGGAAGGAAGGCCACACTCCATAAAACAGACCAGCAGAGGAAGAAAGTAGAGAGTCAGAGCTGAGCAAGGCCCTATGATAGTCATGCTTCAGAGTCCTGACACTGCAGTTGGCACTTTTTGGCACTTTCGTGGATGTAGCTGTGAATTCCCCCTAATGTAGGATAGACAGGATTATCAGTTAAATACCTACAATCTTCCTCGTGCTGTACCGGTGCATCTGGATCTGTCTTTAAGGAAGAAAGGGGTTATGTGCAGATACGGAAATTGAATCTCATAGGAGCAGCCACAGATATTATTTCTTGAGCATTTACTCTGGGCCAGGGTCTGCTTTAACTTTCACTTCACTCAGTCATTTGATCTTTGCAGTAATCCAATTTTATTGTGAGTTTGTCAGTTAAATATCCGATGTTGTCACTTGCTGAGATCTTACACCTACTAAGGAACAAATCCATGTCAACCTGATCATAAAATCCTTGTTCTTTCTATACTTCAGGATGTCTATTGTTTCAGCTCCTTGACTCATTCTCAGTGATGCCCCCATAGACATAGGGTTCAGTCCTATTGGGGAAGTAATGCCTGCCTCTAAGGTACTGTGTCCCCTGTAAAACAGCCCAGATATGACCACCAAATATCTAGAACTCACCATCCAGGACTAGGATCACAGATTAGCCAAGTAACATCCTTATAGTAGATGCTCCTTTCATCTCCTGACCGGGGAAAATCACTGGGGGCATCTGACTCTGTCCAAGCTTACATCTCTATACCTGGGCTTTGGTATGGGACCACTCTACTGCTAGGTTTGTCCCTAGGGGCAAACCGTACTCCTCGCCCTCATGCACTTGCTGTTGATCCTGACACATTGATTACTAGCACAGCCATCGAAGTGCCTTTTAATTTTGCTGCACATTTATTTGAACTACAGTCTGAGTCACCTGGGATGTGTTAGGAAGATTAAATTGAGGATTCCAGTGACTCACTTATAAATGTTTCCAGGGAATGGCAAGAAATTGGAGCGCTATTTCCCACCAAAGAACAGAGCCCTGGCATCCTGCCCAGAAGATATATCCCATCTGCTGACTCTGTGAGTGGCCTAACAGTGCATCTTCCTAGGGATGGGTTAAATAAGAAGGCTTTTCTTCTCTAGCAATTAATACAGTCTGGGAAAGAAACGGGACTGGGTATGTAACAACAGTGAAAGGTTGGAGCATACATGCTTTGAATTGTTTGTTATTTGGAGAGTTTTTACACAGATGGCATTTAATTCTTATATTAAAATATGTCCTTGCCCCTAGAGACATTGCAGACGTAGCTGCTGTGTCACATATGTGTCAATAGGTGGCAGAGAGGAGAGAGGCTATCTGCTCTCAGTGTTCTGACCTACAGACATCTGAATGATTAGCAGCCTAACACTCCCTGAAAAGAAAGTGAGCCAGAGAACACAAGGGTGGATGGGAACAAACAGAGACTAAAGGAACCCCACCTGGGACTGCGGGCCTGGGCAGGCGTGAACCTGAGACTGGTGCCATGGGGCCTGGATATGGAGCTAGCCTAAAATGACACCAGTTTAGTGTCATGCAGTCCTGAGGGGAAGACCATGCCCAAAATGACCCCTGCCTGTTGCCATAATAGGCTAGCAGGCCTTAGCACTCCTGAGATGACCCCAGACACTCAGAGACCCTGGTTGTCACTAAGAGGGGCAAGTAAGTAGTGGAGAAATGGAAGAGAAAGAGAAACAGAAGGATGGCACAATAAAGAGAGGCAGAACTAGAAACTCAAGGGTAGTGAGGAACAGCCTGTTGTGAGTAGCTGATGAGGCTGCCAGGGACCATGGTGGGGTCCTGGTCTGTGTTGCCATTGGGGAAGGCACATCTACAGCAGTAGGGGGCTGTAACCACCAAAGGTCAGGCAGAAGTCCATGGTCTGGGCTGCCACCCAGGATGTATTGATGTCTGAAGGCTGTGCAGAACCGGCCCCGCCCCACACCTGGGCATCATGGGATGCTTGGCATGGAGGCATGAGAGCAGGAGAGCTGACCCTACCTCTATCCAGGGTCAGTACTCAGGAGAGTGGACCCCTACACATTGTGGGAGTTGTGGGTGAGCCAGCCCCCAACCCCAGAGGGTATGAACTAGCCCTGCCAATTATCTCTTGTAGTGGCATGGATGAGGGAGAGATACCCTCCTCCCCCCCACTCACCTTGCCACCTATGTGTGACAGGTGGGAGACCTGACCCTGGGGTCATGAGAGCAGGAGAGCCCTGCCTCTCACCTGCTGCAGCACTCAGGAAAACAGGCCCTGTACCTCATCTGGGCTGCACAGTAGATCTAACCCTGATGGCAGGGGTGCAGGTGAGCTGGCCCCAAGAGTGTGAACATGGGAGAGTTGGCTCTGTCACTTGCCTGCCCTCCCCTTGCCCCTTGTCTGCTGTGCAGTAGCACAGACAAGTGAGAAACATCCTCCTCCCTCCCCTCCTCCCTTGCCACCTATGGCAGGTGGGAGAGCTGGCCCTGTTCCTCACCAACTGTAGCACTAAAGAGAGAGAGCCCTGCACCTAGCACAGGCAGCAGGTTAGAGCCAGCCCTGGTTACAGGGGTTGCTGGTGAGTGATCCTCAAGGGTGGGGAAGCAGGAGTGCTCCCATGCTGACTAGCTCAGATACCTTTCATGCCAAGATCCAGGGCTTTGAATTGGCCCACCCCAATATCAACCCCATCAATGAACTGCTAGAGTGCATGGTCCTACAAACCCAAAGCTACAGGATCTCCATGACACAGGTCAACAACAGGATATCCGAGAGGAGACCCAGTGAGGTTCCAGTACTGACAGCATATCAGAAGCCAGAGGCCTCCAACCAGACCAATGGCTCATTGCAATGATTATTTGCAAGCAAAGAAGTGTGGACAAAAGCGTGTATTATGGGACACAGTGTGACACACTACAGCTTCCACAACAAGATTTTTTTTTCCTCTGTTAGTGAGGAGGTTGCAAAGATGGAGGGTGGGTGCAAGGGGAGGGGGGATGGGTGGGATTGGGGTGCATGATGTGTAAGTCACAAAGAACTAATAGAAGTTTTAAAACAAAACAAAAAATATGTCAGCCTTCCCTACAAGGCAATAATGAACTGTGGTTCACCCATGTGTGTCCACATTTAGTCTGTGCACGTGCTCGTCAGCTTACTGCAGGTTGCAGGGTCGACCATAAAGTCCACCTAACTGATATTTCCCACATGCAAAGTTCTTTCTCAACAGTACAATCTTAGAACCAGAAGGCCCTTTTAAAGATATGGGTTACAACCCCTCAATGTATATCAGAAGAAAGTTGTCAAGTGAGATTTGCAAGATGCCCTGGTATGTGAGTGGTAGAATCCCACATAATCCCTCACAGGGCTACTGGCCAGAAACTGTTTGTTGATGGATAAGTAGAAAGCTAGAACCAAAGTTTGGCTGTTCCAACTACTGTATCAACATCCTACACTGCCTGTAACTCCAGACAACTGTAGATATTCCCAACCCTGGTGTGACAACTCCAAGAGCCTGACCTAATTAATTTTCATTTAATTTTAACAAGAGAAGGATCTAGAGATGGTCAGTAACAAAGGTATGAATGGAAGTGGAATCTTGGACCTCACCAGGGAAGTTTCCTGGGAGTTACTTTGGTTAATCCTAGTTTCTGCAGTTTGGCAAAGGAAAGGCTAGAAAAAGAGAATATTCTATATAGTTGACTGTGACTCTCCTGCCAAGCATGCATAGGTCGAATAGGGAAACCAAAAAGAAACAATGTGTTCATGACCCCATGGTACAAGGCCAAAAGGTGAGATTTCCTACATCTCGTTGTGCTATGCTAGTTCTCTCTGGGAAGTCTCTTGTGCCAGTTATTACTGCTACTGACATTAGGTGCCATAACTGAAATTTTAGGAATAAACCCTATTGAAGTCAAAATTTGAGTCCCTCTTTGTCTCTGATTCCCATGCTCTGAACTCCCTCTGAAAAGCTATGTGGTCCCTAAATTTGCAAGCTAATGCTAAAGAGCTGCTTGCATTTCAATAGGAGATTCTTAATCACAGGGCTCCCTAAAGCTGCCTCTGACCTATTAATGCGTGACTATCAGATTGCAAGTTTGAGTAAAGCAGGTGGGAAAATCCTCCTGATCCTTCTTGAAGACACTCAATCATGCTGAGTCCCACCACTTAGGTATTCCACCCAACCCAGGGTAACTCACTGATAAGGGCTGTCACAATCTCTTCCATGTTCTCCAGAAAGCTAGTGAGGTGCTGGGAGAAAGACAGATGTGGGGAGGTAACCTGGGCTACCACGGCTGCAGCTTCAGCTCGAGTGGCCTCCGAGTGGCTGTCATCAGTCAAGATGTCTGCCAAGCACAGGATACCATCCACCTGCAGATGGAGAGAAAGAACTTCCTAGTGTAGCTTGAAAGGGAGAGTGTCACTGCTTGTGACAGTCATGAGACAGAACCAATTCCTCTCACCCTTTTGAGAAGAGTTCATACTCCCTGTTGAGTCAGAGAAAATCTGAGAAGAGCCCCTTCCCAAATGACCCAAAGTTACTTCTGCTTTGAGCCCAAGAAAGATAAGTGACCCCTCGTAGACTTTCTAGATAGCAGACAGCAAGTCAAGTGTCTAGGGACTGACCTTGGCCAGGCATCACTGCAAACTGCAGTAGAGACAATGGTTACTTAGGGATCTTCTGACCTTGAGCTCCAAGCCAGGCTCCATCTTTTATGCTGTGTGACTTCACATCCCTGACACTACTCCCTCAGACATCAGCAAGAGGTCAGCAGATGGTCAAAACAGTTGATGCCTTACCCAGACCAGTCTCTCCTGTCATTTTCACCTTTTACAGCCATGTTCATCCCCCCCGCCCCCCCCCCCCCCGCTCTGGTCCTCCACTGCGTTTCCCTTGGAAACAGTGTACTGCTTCCGTGGAAACCTTGCTCTCCCTGCCCAATCAGAGAGCTACAGGTCTTGTGGGAAACATATGTCAGAAAAAAAGGCTTGTTTCCTAGGCCTGCCACAGTCAGACCTGATCCTGGCACAGTAACGGAAGACATGGCTAGAGTACCTATAGTATGCCAGGTTCCACACTTAGTAGAGTGTCATTGTATCACTGTGTCAAACACTCTCATGTCACAGAAAGGAAAACTTACAAAATATTGTTCAGCCTCCTGGATTCTTAACTTTCAAACTCATGGATTTGTGACTGAATGTTCTGCTCTTCAACACCTGGGTTCTGAAAAGAACTTCCTCCTGAGAGGTTACACCTGAGCTTAAAACCCACCCTCCACCAGGAGTCAGTGGGTGGGCTTTAGAGGAAGGGGGCAGGGTCTTGCTACAGTGTACCTTGAGTTCCTCCAGGAGCTAAAATGTTAGGAGGTTGAGGGAGGACCAGCACTGAAGGTGGAGTGGAGGCCAGGGATGAACAAGGAGATGCCCTGACTGATGTCTGCCATCTGCTACTGACTTAAGCCCCGTCTCTACATCCTTACTTCTAGCCACTAGCTCTAGTGGCCCCCAGAGCTTGCCTCTCATTTGATTAATCACCTCCACCTCCACCTCCACCCCCAGTCCTGCACCTCCTCTTAAATGGCTCTTGGGATCTGAGAGGTCCATTAGCTGTGAAAGCCATTGGCAATTTCAGACTCAAAGGAGACAAATGTGGAAACAAGAGCCCAGGGAACAGTCCACAGTAAAACCCACCTGGATGTGCTTAATAAAAGGAACAAACAGTAGTCAGCCGGCCCCTGGCAGGACTGGACTCAGGCCAGGTATTTTATTAATAGGCCTTTGGAGAGGTCTCTTTGAGCCCACAGGGCAGCTGTAGGCCTAAAAACAGGAAGCAGCTCTATTGCCAACATAAGAAGCCTCTCAATTGACTGGCTCACATCCCCTTTCCTCCTTCGAGCATCAATCAAGAGTATTGCTAAGAAGCTCCGAGGTCCCTAATGGGAAAGTATCTCCATCGATCCGATGCTCTCAAACTTGTTGACTATAGTTACTGCTGCTACCCTGGTCTCTGAATCAGTTGAAACAGCAGTTAGACTCAAACAAGTATGCTGCCCTGATGCTCAGCAAATCTGAGTTGGTGGTCCCAGGACCCAGTGAAACCCAAGGCCCAAATATGAACCCATCTGCCCAGGCTAGAAGTAGGTCTGTGGCCTGATAAGTACAGACCAAGTGCCCAGTCCTGTGCTTTTTTTTTTTTTTTTTAAATAGGAGCCAAATTTCCTTGTTTCTGATCCTGCTGATTTCCCTCACCTGCCACTAGCAGGCTGCCACACAAACCGGTCTCTACACATACCACCAGGTCCAAAGCTCCAATCCAGTCCAGTCACTACAACTTATCACCAAGGGTTTCCTATTACTGGGTTATGAGATTTTTAGCACTCATGCCAATTTCTA